GAAGCAGAGGTAGGAGCCAACAGACCTGACTGATTGAGCAATGAGATTCCTTGGAAGAGCTGACAGTGGAACTGAATCTCAAAGATGAGCCAGGATTTGCCAGGAGCAAAAGGGAAAAAGAGGTTATTTCAGAAGGCATGGCAGCAGGCAGATGCAAAACCCTGGAGACACCAGAGCGCCTGGTGCAGTTAGAGTGTGTTTGTGATGTTTCTGGTATATAAGACCCAGGAGTAGGTGCAAAAGTAACATGAAAAGCCCTGTGGTGTAGGCAAGACATCAATATCATTTTATAGTGGAAGAAACACAGATTATACTCTAAAAACTGTTTGAAAGCGATAAATGATTGGGTATTATGGTTATGATAAGAGTCCAGAATGAAGGCTGCATAGTGGAGTGGACTCGGGGAGTGGAGGGTGTGCATTGCATACCAATGAAGAAATTTTTCTTTTACTTTTCAAAGAGAAGAACGAACTAGTGGAGAGGGATGGGCAGGGGGAAAAATGCAATAATGAATGAATGGAAATCTAAAGTCTCTGTAAATGTTCATTAAAATATAATAAAAAAAAAAATAATAATATACCTAAGCAAAAAAACCAAAAAACAAACAGAAAGCTTCTGGGGGGAAAAAAAGTTGAAGACCTTTAAGTAACTCATCTCAGGTTCAGAAGCCGTCTAGCATAGCTCAGGCACAAACAAGCCATAATGTTTGGTCATTAAAAGACTACAAGAGATGGAGATCCTACTTAAGTCCAAATTCAGAACAAGAAAAAGTTATCGCATTTGACTTTTTTACTTTATACTTAATGCTGATTTGAATCTCATTGTTTGCTGAATTAATTTATTCCCATTGTAATTTGTGATGCTAAGTGAAAAGATTCTGAAAAATGGACTTCATTCATAAAAGAGAATATAGTGTGCTCTTAAATGTAGTTCTCTACTTGATTTGGAAGGACCTAATATAATATTTCTTACAATGGTGTTTAACTCGTCAAAATGAAGCATGACTTTGAAGACAATATAGTATAGTGATTACCAGAGTTATGTTATTACCTGCTTGATGATCTTCTGAAGGAGACCTCACCTCACACAAGCTTATTTCTCTACAGTTTGCGGCGTGGCAGAGAGACCCAAGGGTAGTTGGAAATGTGCAGCTATGCCTCTTTCTCATGTCAGCTCTCCATGTCTACACTGGGTGACAGGACATGGGAGCAGATGAGACAAGCTGTCACTCACCCACACTGCCCTTTGAAGAATGGCCATGGGGGGGAAAAGGTGCCGCAAATGGGCTGTGAAGTTTACATACACTGCCCACTGTTAAACAGATTACGTCTAATGAAGTGTCTAATGCTCAGGCCATATCAACCTAATCCTTGGTGGCAGTTCATTCCTCAACTGCCAAAAAACACCGCCCTCTGGCCCTCTCTCGCCACTCTGGCCGCCAAGCACAGGGAGGTGCCCAGTCTTAATAAACCACAACAGTGTGTGATCTGACATGCAAATGTAGGTCATTGCATATGTAAATGTGTGATTACAAACCTGCATGCCAAAACACATTAGTGAGACTTTGCTCTCAGCATGCGGTTGTCACACTGCCTTAGCAGTTCACGCTAATATTTGTCAAGTTATTGTGCAGACAGAAGATGGAATTCCCAGTCACATTTGAAGTATGTGGGTTGTAGGATAGTGCTCATAATGATGAAGCTGTATTTTACTTTTGTGACTGACAAATCTGCATCAGGAGAAAGGATGGTCTGTAATAACAGGAGAGAAAGGATTCTGTTTCTTAGATGTTAATGACTGTCTATCTAGATGTGTCTTCTTAAAAAAAATCTTAGGAAATTATACGCTATCTTAAAGATGTGTGTGTGTGTGTCTGTGTAGTCTTTCATTTACATTATGTTTTATTCATATACATTTTCTTATATACAATCATTCATATACATTGCATTTTATTTCTTTAATTGCCATTGACCGATGCAAATTATTGTGCTGTTTATTCAAGTCCCTGTTGAATCACCTGTTCTATTACCCCCCAACTGCCTACTAACCTCTCCTATTCAAGTGATTTATCCTCTTCCCCTTTTTCTGTTTCCTTCTCCCTTCCCCTTTTGAGCATTTATACACGTCTTGCTCAGTCATTCTGTTTCTATGGTAATGTTCTTAGGCAGTATCTGTTCACTCAACATAAAACTTCTAGACTTCCCCTTGTTTATGGAATCATTGTTCCTTAGTGCTGCATAGTATCCCATTGTGTGAGCTTACACAGTTGCTCATTCCATATGTTTTTTTTAATTATTTTATTAATTTTAATGAACATTTACAGAGATTTTGGATTTCCATTCATTCATTGTTGCACTTTTCTCCCTGCCCATCCCTCCCCCCGCCCCCCAGTTCTCTCTTCTCTTTGAAAAGTAAAAGAGAAATTCCTTCATTGGTATACAATCTCCCTGCTCCCCACCCCAAGTACACTTCACTATGGAACCTTCATTCTGGACTCTTGTGATAACCATAATACCCTATCATATATCACTTTTAAACTGTTCTCTCCCTCATGGACATTTGGGCTGTTTCCATTTTCTTGCCATTGTGAATGGTATTTCTATGAACATAGGTACTTACATCCTTTTATGTCTCAGTTCTATGTTTTTTGGGTTCCGTAGACCTAGCAGTAAGATTGCTGCATCATATGAGATTTCTGTGTTCCGCTTTTTGAAGAAACACCAAACACCCTTCTCTAGAGGTGATACAATTTTACAGTCTCACCAGCAATACATGAGAGTTCCAATCTCGCTTCATTCTCTCCAACATTTATTGCTTGTTGTCCTTTTAAACTTTGTTATTGCTACTCTTTTGGCCCTCTGAATGTCTTCCATTGTGAAGAGTCTTTTTATATCTTCTGCCCATTTTGCTAGTGCGTTACTGGTCTCTTTCTTCTGGAGGCTCTGTAGTATTCTGTAAACTTCTGCTATCTGACCCTTATCTGAAAATTCATTGCCAATTTCCTCCCTCCTCTAATCTGTAGGCTTTCCTTTCACCCTATTGGGAAAATTTTCTGATGCACACAGGGACATAGTTTTTAGGAAGTTCCATTTGTTGATTTCATCCTTTTCTGGTTGTGCATTTCTGGCTGTATTTGCAAGTATATTTATGACATAGGCTAGGACTTCTTTGTTTGCTCCATTTTGTCTCTTATGATCCTTATGGTTTGGGGATTTATCTGTAGGTTTCTGATCTGCCTTGAGTTGATTTTTTTGTGTGATATTGGAATCCTGTTTCAACTTTCTGCAGGTTGATGTCCAGTTTTTGCAGGACTGTTTGTTGAAGAGGTGGTTGTTCTTTCATTGATAGGTTTTTTATTCTTTGTCTAATTCCAGTTGACTATAAGTTGATTGGTTGATATCTGGGTTCTTGATTCTATTCCAGTCTATGTATCTGTCATTGCACTGGTACCATGCTGTTTTGGTTATTATGGCTGCTTGGTAGGTTTTGAGATCAGAAAGTGTTTTACCTCCCACTCCACTTTTATTTTTCAGAAGAACTTGCTTATTTAGAGTCTCTTTCCAAATAAACCTGCCCATTTGCCTTTTCTCCACATGTGTATTCCAATTTCTGTTTTTCCTTAAAGCCCTATATTTGAACAGATTTGTATATTATCATGTATTCGTATTGTTGTTGAGAGTCCTTGAGTCAATTCCATCTTATACTGACCCTGTAAAACAATGGAACCACCTCACTGCTTTTCTTTGGCTGTGATGTTTACTGAAGCAGGTTGTCATATCTGCTCTGGAGGAGCTGATGATTTTGAACTGTGAACCTTGCAGTTAGCAGTTGAGTGTTTAACTGCTGCATAACCAGGGTTCCTTAGATTATCATGTAGGGTCCCCTAATGTTGGGTCATATTGTAGGGGCCTTGGTTTAATGTTTACCAGATGACAGAATAGTTGAATTAATGAACATGAAGAAACAAATGAACAAGAACAGAACTAGGACAAAAGATAATATTTAGAAGGATTTAGTTGTATCTCAGAATAGGGATGGATGATGTGCTCAACAATACCCTATAATTGTGCCCCACCGTACCCTTTAATTGTACTCCATAGTATCCTGTCATTATTTCTGTCCTAGAACAGTGAAGTGCCTCTCCCTCTATTTGGGTATGGGCTTTTAAAGAAGAGAGCTTCTTTAAATTCATTAGTTTCCCTAGCTAGCATAGTGACTAGTGCCTAAAATACAGTAACTATGAGATGGATCAGTTCTATGATGGGAATGAGTGTGTTTGAGATGGCAAGGTTGGCACAGGATAGAACGGCGTTTAGAGGTCTTGTACATAGGGTCGCTATGAGTTGCAAGCGACTCGATGGCACATAACAACAACATGATGCAAGAAACATTATTTAAAAAATAAAAGAAAGGACTTTCCAGAAATAAAATCATGTTTATTGGAACACACTGTTTTGATGTGATAACACACCCCTGCCACTGAACATATTCATGGCAGAAATTAAATAACTTTTATAGAAAATACATTATTTCTTGCATTAACTGAGTGAAATGCTTTAAGTGGCTTAAATCAATACAGATAAGATCCATTTAAACTTGGAGATTCTCTAGAAAAGAAATACTGGAGAAGTATTAGATATACTGATGGAAGTAGGAAATTTTGTCTGAAGTTTTAAAGCTTTTTTTTCTTGATGTAATTTATGTATTTAGCACTTCAGTGTAAATCATATACTATACATTTTTTAACCTTTATTATCTTTTCTTTACCACCTGAGTGAAAGTCTCTTAAGTGTTAGAATTATTATGTGATTTACCTCTGTATCAACAGTGTATATTTGTACTCTACCAAATAACAAATACTTGTTATTTAATCAAATAAATGTTTGTTCCATATGTGATGTCTACAGTGTTACCACAAATATTGCCTATTATGTGAAAATGATCAATGAGTTTTCTTTTTGCACGTTGTGTGATTGAATACTTTTATTTTTAAATTACAGAAGGCTTTACGACCGGATATGGGCTATAATACATTAGCCAACTTCCGGATAGAAAAGAAAATTGGTCGTGGACAATTTAGTGAAGTTTATAGAGCAGCCTGTCTCTTGGATGGAGTGCCAGTAGCTTTAAAAAAAGTGCAGGTAAGATAATTTTAATTACATAAATCAATGTGAAATTATCCTACGTGAATAATCAAGAAAAGTATGCCCAGAATGATTGGACAATGACAGTTGTAAGTTGAAAATGCTAGGAAAAAAATATTGTATTTTAAAAACTTGACTTGGAGTGTAGTATAAAATAGAAATGAAATATTCTCTCTATTGTTACCTATTGCCACTAAGTTGATTCTGACTCATTATGGTTCTACAGGACAGAGCATGGTTACTGAGGCTATAAGTGTTTATGTGAACAGAGAAATGAAAAAAGAAAACACATTTCTTTTGTGCAATGGTTGATGGTTTTTAAGCACCAGCCAACCTTGTAGTCAGTAGCATGGCACATAACCCACTATGCCTTCAGAATCTCTTGATATCTTATATTTAGGCTTTAAAAATTGAACTAATAATTAACCTATTTACTAGAATGGTCCTAAAAAACCTTTAAAACTCTGAATTTTGAGAGATAAATCTGAGTTACCACCATAATGTCTAAATGAACATTTAGTTAATTGTTGAATTCTGCTTTGACCGCCTAGTGGTAAGGAGTTGACATTGGCAGTCCAAAGGTATACAGTGCAAATCTATCACCTGTTCTGCAGGAGAAAGATGGGCATTGTCCTTCTGGGTACTAAAACTACCTATAAAAAAACAACAAGAGTGTCAGCCGTGGATTCTGTTCCCACTCGATGGTACACAACAACAAAAACAAATCCTTGCAGTAGCAAATTAGATTCACACACCAATGTGTTCTCTGAAATTAATGACAGTCAGTATTAGGGCGGGTATTACACTAATGTATAGAACTATATAGAATTAAATTAACCAAAGGAAAATGATATGAAATCCGTTATTTTTTAAATTAGAAAAAAAAGATGAATTTTGGGAAAATGGCAATTCAAACAGGTCATTGTTCCAACCTTCTCCCACAAATATAAGAAAGACAATATAGGAACAACATTGTACTTTGAAGGATGCTGAATCAGGGAACATAGGACAGTAGTGGAGAATACAAACAGGCAAGAATCAATACATTACATATGGTAGGATAACATCTACCTGTCTCCCTGCAACTGGGAAATTCTGCAGTCAGGAACCTCCAAATTATTGAGGAGTAATGATGTCAGTTTGAGGAGTAAGGTGCGTCTGATTCAGGCCATGGTGTTTCCGATCATTTGCTGTGCGTCTGAGAGCTGGACAGTGAATAAGGATGACAGAGGAAGAAGTGATGCCTTTAAGCTTTGGAGAAGAGCACTGAACACCCCATAGACTATCGAAAGAACAAACAACTATGTTTGGCAGGAAGTGCAGCCATAGTGCTCCTTAGAGGAAGAAATAATAAAGCTTCTCCTCACATACTTCAGGTAGGCTGCTAGAAGAGGCCATTTCTTGGAGAAGGACATGATGCTTGGAAAGGCGGAGGGTCAGTGAAGGAGAGGAAGACCCTCAACCAGGTAGATTGACTCACTGACTGCCCCTGTGGGCTTTAGTGTCAGGAAATGAGAGGATAGCACAGGATAGGACAGGGTTCAGATCTGTTGTTTATAGGATCTCTAAGGGTCATAATTGGCTCAATGACACATAAGGACAACAAATATTATCTCCCTCTCTCAGCCATTTCTCATCCAGTTTACATCAACGTGGGCTGCTGTCTTCTGTCAACTTGGGAAGTGACTTAGAAAAAGAACCTATTTTCCTAATCATTCCTCTGCCTTCATATTGATAGGACACCAAGATTTTGCTCTAAAATCAGCAAAGCAGACCTCCTGAGATGTGCCTTTGGAAGGTCCTAGCACCTTTCCTACCCAGACACTGTCAACTACATGCCTGTGATGAATTGCTACAGGTGGCTTCCTAAGTGGAATCGGCTTTCATAGTCAGCACTCTTTCTTCTTGTCTCTCTGGGCACCCTATAGCTCAAGTCTCAGAAACAAACTGCATTAGCTCCCTGGGGATCCATTTGGGTTAATCTGTCCCCACGGTCAGCTGTTGCCGAGTCTACTGTGTGCTAGAAGGAGGTATCTTGGCTGAACTTAGCAGTCCTAGCCTGCAGTATATCATGGAAGGGGATATGATACTGAGAGCAACAAGGCCGACCTCCTGGGGATCTAAAGAGAGCATGACAGTACCTCCTCCCACTTGATAACTATTAACTGCAGACTTATAAAAGGCCACTGCAGTGGAGTCTGCTCTCATAGTCAGCCTTATACCTGCCTCCATTGCTCAGGCCTCTGAAACCAATAGTGAAAACCTCCTGGGGATCAGCTTGGGTCTGTCTGCTTCGCTTCTGGTTGACACTGAGTACTGCTGACCAAGACTGTGATCTAGGAAGCAAGAATTCTGAGTAAAGGCTACACCAAAACCAATGCACAACATGCTCAGGCTTTGATAGTAGCAAGGCTGATCTTCCTAGGGATACATTTGCAGTGTGAAAATCCCTCCCTACCATGGAGCTGTCACCTTCTAGACTAATACAACTTCTTACAGAAGTTATGTTTTGTGGCATGAGGAGGAAGACTGCCTAAAAGGAGACTGCTTCCCCCGAGTCTCCACAGGACCACTGAGATTCTAATACCAACAAGACAGAACTCCTGGAGATTATTCTGTAGAGTCTCAGCCCCTCCTATGAAACAGAAGAAAATCTGGCTGTGTTCCTCCTGAAAGCTAGCTGAGATGGAAGCACAGCAAGGGAGGAAGCCTTGGAAAAACTGGGACGTAATGCTTAGCCCCAAAGAGGGTTCGTGGGATGTGAGTTATCTAAGTGAAAATGTCCTAGAAACAGAAGAGATAATAATGAGAGAACTGTTCACCCAGTGGATGCATGGATTTATGCAGTCTTACCTAAGTACTGCTGTTGGTGGGCAGATAAATTGCAGTGTGTTTTGTGGTGTATTTTGGAGACTGTTGAAAATTGAGATTTGGAACTTCTGAATCCTAATTAAAAGAAGGAGAGAAAAGGAGTCACCACCAGACAGGGAGAAAGAATCTGAGAATCTTAAGCAAAGACTGAAGGCTCTGTCCACTCATTAATTTCTTGCAGAGAATTGTATAGGCAGAAGCACCAAATACTGGAGGAAATCGAGAAAGTTAACACCCTCTAAAATTTCACTATCCCAACAAAAAACCCACAAGACTGACACAGACGCAATGACCCATCCAAATGAGCAAAACAGAGGGAGTGAACAAAGGTGCATCTAGACATGATAATGAAATAAAAGAGAAGAATATTGCACAACATTAAACATTAAATACCTGAGGGGAAAGAGACAATGAGCTAAATGAAATAACCAAAGCCATGCAAAGAAATGAGGATCTAAACAAAGTAGTATTGAAAGGAACAGTAACAGAAATGTGAATTACAGCAGAAAGGATTGCCCACAGATTTAGTCAGAAGAAAAAATCAGCCAGAGTTGGGGATAATATAATTACAGATGCAAGAGAGTGACAAGAATGCAGGCTCGAGAAGACAGACCACAGTTCAGTGAAATTATGGACACCTAGGACATGCATCGTAGGGATTCTGGAAGCAGATGAGAGAAAGAATGCGACAGAAGGAATATTTGAAGAAGTAATGACAAAATTTTCCCTAGTCCAACAAAGGACATTAAATCTACAAATCCAAGAATTACAAAGAACCCCAAGCAGGATAAACCCAAAGAAGTCTGTACCAATACACAGTGTAGTTATGCTTTCAAAAATGAAAGATACAGAATTCTGAAAGCACTGAGAATGAAACTAGCAGTCACACACTGAGCATCCTCAAACAAATTAAGTGCCCCTTTTCTCTACTCAGAAACATCAGAGGGCAGAATTCAATGGATTGATACATTTAAAGTGTTGAAAAGAAGTCTGATGATGAACAATTTAATTGTTAGAAGATCACAGTTGTTTCATCGAGTTTATCTTCTGCTCTTGATGCATTTTTGGTTGGTTGGTACTCTCTTAATACCATGGAGTATTAATATGTTTCCTTATATTGGCACAGGCTAGAGCAGGGTTTAGGGCTGTTGTACATAGGGTCGCTATGAGTTGCAAACAACTCGATGGCACATAACAACAACATGCCCTGTATGAGTTCCACTTGGTAATGATATGTTATTTATGTATTATTTTTTGTTAAAATACTGAATTCTGTTGGATCGAATTGTTGTAAGAATTTGTGCATCTATATTCATGATGGATATTGGCCTGAGTTTTCTTTTTTGACTGTGTTTTTTCCTTAACCTTAAAGTCAACATGGATTGAAGCTAAAAATCATTAATAACAGAGCAAACTAGGGGTAAAATTGTGACACTTCTTAGTGATAACAATATTTGGACCAGGAAGCTCAAGAAAATCGGTCATGGAGACACTAAAGCCACTTGCCATAACATCATTCACAAAGAAGGTGTTTTCTGTCTGTGGAGAATTTGACTTAGATCTTAGAAGTTTGTGAGCAGCTCTCTATGGTGTAACTGTTTCTACCCTTCCCTGCCCCCTAAAGAGCAAAGAAAAGTGAAGAAAATCAAAGCAAATTAATGCAAACAGAAAGGTTAGAAGACAGAATATGAAAGAAATATGAATGGAAATAGGAAATGCAGCGAGGAAGTGGGTAGAGAGCTGTTACTATAAGGGAATAGCAAGTTAGTGTCATGAAACTAATTATATGTTTTAGTGTGTATAAAGTATATATGAATTATTGAATGGAAATCTCATTTCTCTAGACTTTCACTCATATCACAATAGAAGGATGTTTCTTATAACGCTAAAAGGGAAAAAAAACCTACTTATTATAAATATTAGAATATAGGCTCTTCAATATAATATTCATGATACTGATACACACAGAGAGAAATAAACAAAAAAAGATGTATGTAAAAAGAGCAAGGACCACATGGGAATGGTCATATCTGACCTTTACCACCTTTACAAAGGGGAATTGTCCCCATCAACATAAAACCCAATTCTCATAAGGCCAGACAGGTCCCCCATGCTCCTGTACCTCT